CTCACTCACCTCCCCCCGCCCTTCTCCCTCCACAACACCCTCTTCGCCTCATGCAGTGCTGTCAGTAGGCCCCTCGCCTTTGACCAGGTGCTTTGCCCCCACCTTGACTTCACCTCATCTGTGCGACTGCAAGGGTGCCTCAGTGAGACGGTATAATGCACCGGGGCAGATTGGTGTGACACAGGAGGGGCCACGGTGTGGCGGCCTTCGTAGCTCAGGGGTTAGAGCACTGGTCTTGTAAACCAGGGGTCGAGAGTTCGAATCTCTCCGAGGGCACCGTCTCTTGCCTCCTCCTCGCAGCGCGCCTTGCATCTCACTACCTCTCTTGCTGCTTCAACTACTACCTCCACCTACACTGTGCTGCATGCACATGTGTATGCGATTGTCAAGGCGCAGGGACAGAGGTGATGTGTGAGTGGGGATTGACGGTTGGAGGTTGGAAGAGGGGATCGATTGGTGTTGGCACAAATGGTGTATCGCAAAGTATGGCAAGGCAGGGAGAGGAGTGCCAAATGGGCAAGGAGGGGAGTTTGAGCAAGCATTATTGTGAGAGGGGGTGTATGCGAAGCCAAGTGAGTGGGGCAGGATTGCAATGCTAGGCGCGGGATGGGAAGGCTGGTGAATGTGGAGGACAAAGGAGGGGATGGCCTGTGTCAGTGTCACTTGGTGCTGCATGAAGCATGGAGACGTGGATTCGAGCCCTCGTAGCTCAGGGGTTAGAGCACTGGTCTAGTAAACCAGGGGTCGGGAGTTCAAGTCTCCCCGAGGGCAGTGCTGTGGTGGCGATACCTTTTGCCGACGTCGACATCACCATGGCTCCAACGCCTTCCGCCTTTCTTGCCCAACAGGCGGTGCGACAATTGTCACCTCTAATGTTGTGCACTTGCATGGCACCGCAGTTGGAGACGCATGAGAGGAGCCAAGGGAATGACTGGATGGACAGAGGATGGGTGGGAGGATGAGACATGTGTGAGCAGAGGGGGGAGAGGGAGGGTGAGATGCAGTGTCAGGATGGCCGAGCGGTCCAAGGCGCTGCGTTCAGGTCGCAGTCCACTCTTGTGGGCGTGGGTTCGAATCCCACTTCTGACACCTCCTTTCGCTCCCTTTTCTCACTCCTCCCTCCACCCACCTTCGGCATTGTCTCGCCTCACACATCCCTTCCTTAGTCAAGGCCATGGAGGAGGGCTCTGTTGTGCTGCTAGTGCACCCTGCCCTACGCTGTGGGCTGGAGGCGTGTGCATGCGGAGACGCGTAGAGTGGGGCAGGAGGTGGGAGATGTGTGCCTTGGGTAAGTGGAGGGTAGTAGCCTATTGCCTCGTGAAGGTGTGCAGTGGAGTGAGATGAGATGGGCTGGGATGACATGGCATGGCATGGCATGACATG